GTGGGTCGAATTTTGTTCGCTGCTTGGCCCTCGGCGTGAATTTTGCCCTAACTTGGAGGAAGTTAGTACTGTGTTTCGTTCCCATGATGGTTATCCTGCTCCCACTTCCGGTGGTTTCGTCACGGGGCCTTCTTTGTTTGCAAATCCTAAGTGCGGTAAGATCTGGTCCTGTCATTTACTTACGTAATAGTGTAGGACTTTGTAGGCCACGGAGAGGTCCAGCTGCCTGTTGACAGAGTTGGTATCTAAGTACCATGATTCAAGCGTCAGTCTTTCCGTTTTTGGAGTTCCCCTCTAACCCACAGTTACGGGCAGGTAACGTCGTGAGCCAACTTCGAATTGAACACTACAATGAGAGCGACAAACCACTGAGGTCCGAACATTTGCTCGAACCTCTACGCTATTGCTTTAAAATATACTTTACGTTTAATGCATGAATGTATGAACAAATCAACGTCACCCCAACGGGTCCCCCTTATCAGGCCCACACAATAAACTTTAGATAAAGAAGAAGAAGAAGATGATGATGATGATGATGATGATGATGATGATGATGATGATGATGATGGACGATAATGATGATGATGATGATGATGATGATGATGATGATGATGATGATGATGGTTAATGATGATGATGATGATGATGATGATGATGATGATGATGATGATGATGATCGATGATGATGATGATGATGATGATGATGATGATGATGATGATGATGATGATGCTGAGGATGATGATGGTGAGGATGATGATGATGATGGTGGTGTTGATTATATTTATGATAATACTGAGGTTGATGATGATGATGATGATGATGATGATGATGATGATGCTGACTGTGATCACTGCAACAAGAGTTTTATTTTCCTGAATTTACGGATTTAGTCTGAGCCATGAGCAGATAGGGGTGAAACATGCAAACATTGCACGATATTTATAGTTGGTAGCGGTCATCCGCATGCATACTATAATTATTCGCCCCTGCAGCCACCGTTTTGTGTTTCATTGGTGCGGTGATGGCTTGAAAATTCGCGTTCGACTCATTAATTGCCGCGATTACCTTGTCAATGTCGGATGCGGGCTTGATAATTGCGCGAAAATTATGCTCGCTGTCGTCAGAGTTGTTGCTAGGCCCGGCCCTTCCCACGTGACTGATTTTCTTTATCAGGCACTGTCCCAGTACGCAATATGGGAACGCTAAACCGTCGCGCCTTTTGAGGGACTGAGGGCCTGTGAACGAAACGAAAAACCTAATCGGGCATTAGGTGTCGTCCATCTTAGTGGCACATTGACCACGCGGCCTTATCTCTACTGTCGAACGTAAGGCACCTAAAGAAGTCAGAGCCGATATGATCTCGTTATCGTGCCGACGGACAAGAAGTTTTCCATTGTCGTATTGGACAGCACTGACCACATTCACAAAGGTCAAACTTTGTTAGACGATCGTCATTCCTACCTGCCATGCAAATCCAACCCCAAATAACACTGACACGTGAGATCAACAGAACGTTGTTGGCTATGGAGGCCTCAGGAACAATATCGCCAATCGACCGACGCATGGAAAAAGCGCAAGAAATGGCCCTGGCCCGCTTTTATAGTCTCCCAAGCTGCACAAATATGGCGCACGCCTCCGGCCAACCGTACCTCCAAAAGGATCTCCAATCTACGGACTGGCAAACTGGCTGTGCCGACGGCTCAAATTATTGACCGCTGATTCAGAAAAAACGACAAGTCAACATAATTCTTGGTGTAAGTTTCCTGCCAGTTGATGTCATGGCAAGCACTTCCATACGTAAATAATATATCGGAAG